GTGCAGAGCAGTTGCATTTTGCAAGGAAGAAGAGAACTCCTGTTGCAATTCACGGTTGGAAACAGGACGATTCCTGATCATGAATGAATCAGAAAAACCATTTTTGGAGCCCACCCTTTCCCAAACGTGGCCTTCCATATTAAAAAACCAAAGACACCTGGGCTTTTGATGCTGTGAAGAGCCCATAGAAGCAGCTCTGGGGCCCTCTTGAAGGTCAATTCTTCACACCTTCACCTGCACAAGAACAGAGAATTGCCAAGCAAAAGTGAGTCCAGGCCACGGCGACCTCCCTGCAAGACTCTGGGCTTGTGGTAAAAATGGAGAAAGGCATGTGAGGCTCACTCCCAGATCATTGCGTAAATCCCACATGATGGAGGAACGACCCGCTCCTGCACATCTGCTCTGCAAACATCATCTCTGCTCCCATGGCTTGTCCTAGCTGAGACTGTGGGGTGTGGAGGCGCCTGCCTCTCTTGCTTGGCATCCCAGGTTAGCATGACTTGCTTTCAGAAGAGGAGGAGGAGGAGGAGGAAGTGGAGTCGGAGGAGATGTGAGTGTTGGGAAGGCAGGCCAGGCACGGGCCTTAGGAGCACCTCCAAGGTGGATGCCCCCCAGTGCCCAGGCTGAGCAGGAGAGTGGGAATGTTTTGGAAGGGATGGGAAGGGTTGGAGCGGAGGAAGAGGGAGAGTGAAAGCATTGCCCAGTCCCTGTTCCCATGATGAGGCATCATGAGAGACGAGCTGCCCCATTAGAGGGTTTGTGTAGGTCCCGCTGGCTGGCCCTCACTCCACAGGAGCCACGCTGAGGGAGGGGGGTCACTAGGAGGAGAATCACTGGAAGGGAAGGATTTTGGGAGAAGCCCTCAGTTTGGGTTCAATCTTCTTGACATGAGCAGGGGCCATTTCACCTGTGCAGTGGAGGAGGAGGAAAGGTCCATCCCTCCTTGGCAGGGTTGGAGCAGCCATGCCTCAGGTCTGCTCCGGCCAAGAGGCCTGTCCCTCCGAGTCGACCCAGAGTGCCAGCAGATGTTTCTGAGCAGACGGCTATGAATCGCTGCACGTGAGCCACCAGGCAGGCCTCGAAGGAGCTCCCACGTGCACCGAGCATCCTCCTGCTGCAGGTCACACCTCTTGGATTGGCCTTTCAGGTCACCTAACTCTGCCAGATGTGAAAACCAGGCCCATAGCTCCCCCATCGGCCAAAAACCGAGATACCAGCCTTTCTTCAAAGCATAGATAATGCTTTTCAACAGGATCTGGGAAGTGCTGTTTGGAGGAAACAGTTAAGCATTTCAAATGCCCATTCGTTATTTTCAACCTGAATATCTGTGGGCACGTGTGTGTGTCACACAGCACAGGGCAAGGCTTTGGATGCTGCCAATTAGCATCAGCATTTCTCGTGCAGGAGTGTTTCTAGTGCAGGAATTGCACCAGGAGACATGGACTGGAAGGAGGCTGAATGGGAATTGCATCCTAAAGGAAAAGTAAAGGTAAAGGTTTCCCCTTGACCTGAAGTCCAGCCATGCCTGACTCTCGGGAGTGGTGCTCATCTCCGTTTCCTAGCCGAGGGAGCCAGCCTTTGTCCACAGACGGTCTCCGTGGTCATGTGGCCGGCATGACTAAACACCGAGGTACACGAACGCTGTTACCTGCCCACGGAAGTGGCACCTTTTTATCTCCTTGCATTTGCATGCTTTCGAATGGCAAGGTTGGCAGGAGCTGGGACGGAGCAACGGGAACTCACCCCGCTGCGCAGATTCGAACTGGCAACCTTTTGATCAACCAGCCCAGCAGCACAGTGGTTTAAACCACTGTGCCACCTGCAGTCCCTGCAGACCACCAATCTAGAGACCGCCAATCCGCCAGTCACCAGTCAGATAAAATGCACAGTCAGTTCTTTGCTCTCTGGCAAGCAGAAGACGGGGAACTGTTTTTTCTCAGTTCCTCACCAGAACCAACCACTGTGAGACACGTTGCTATTGCCCTCATAGGCAAGACAGTAATAAGCTGCCTCATCTTCAGCCTGGGCATTGGTGATGGTTAAATAGTTGGGGCTCCCAGAGGTGGACCCTGAGAACCGATCCGGGATCCCTTCTCCCCTGCTGCTTCCATACACCACAAACTGGGGAGCCTGCCCAGGCTGCTGTCGGTGCCAGCCGAAGTAATTCCAGTTGCCGCCAGCACTTCCAGTGCAGGAGAGTTTAATGGTTTGACCCGGAGACACGGACTGCGACGGAGGCTGGGTGAGGACATGTTGTGTGCTGACACCTGTGCGAACAAGGGAGGAAAACAGTGTAACTCATTTTCCCAGCTCTCAGATTATCTCCAAGCACAAAGCTCCTCGAATATGGACATATGGCTAGTTTCGCTGCTGTTCGCCAGGACGTGGTGAAGGGCGCTTCCGTGCCTTACCTGCACAGAGGCAGAGGAGTGTGCCGAAGAGCAGAGCCCGGGCCACGCTGACCATCCTGGAAGACTGCAGGTTTCTGATGGATAGACTCCCAGCTGGGCTGCCTCCTGCTCCCTCCCTTAAATTGCTCATGGCAGAAGGACTGCCCCTTCATGCAAATCTGAACATTGACTCTAGTCCGAGGTCACAGCGCCACTGAGACCGAGCCCTGTTCCAGGCAGCCGCGAGATCATGCAGAAATTGTGCACGAGGCAGCCTTCCATCTCTTGGCAGCAGCACCTCCTCTGGCTAGCATTGCTGATGGCGGCAATGGCAGAACTCCCCATGACCCGGGCTGATTGGGATCCCACATAGCGGGATCCGTCAAAGCAGTGGCTTTTCTTCTGCCATGCCTGACTCCTCACTCATTAATGCTCTTTCAACATAGTTAACTTCAGCTATGCAGCTGGGGTGGAAGGGGATCCCACCTACATCTGAACTCGGAAGGACCGGCCACTCATCCATTCTGCACCTCTCCAGGTCAGCGCAATGTCTCTGCATGAGTTTCCGCTCTCCATGCGCACTCATCTCTGTGTCTGAGCCAGGCCTTGGAAGAGCACCACTGCATGCCTCCCCCACCTTCCACTTCACTTTATATCATGGACCAAGATGGTTCCTCCAAGTTTGTTTCTTCATCTCATCTCATCCAAATGCATGTGAGAAAGTGGCCCAACACCTCCACCTACAGGTGAAACCAGGAAAAGAGCCGTCACAACTGCCATTCGACCATGTTCGCCCCAGCCATCTCAAACCACCACGCAGAGGGCAAAGCGAAGTGCTGAATCTCCTGTCGCACCTCACTGTGCCCTGCTCCTGAGGCAGCTCCCTCTCTCACGCTTTCTCCTCAACCTTCCCTTCGTGGTTTTGGACAAGACCTTCTTGAGTCACCAACCATCCCCTGGTCGGTCAGACCGAGGGGAGATGCAGCGGAGGCCAAAGGACCTCCCACCTGCACACTGGAGTTGCAAAGGTTGCCTTTCAGATGGTTTGAATTAAGTCGGTGAGCAGTGACTGGTGCTTTGCCCGCATTGGCTCCACTGCCTTATGTTTGTGACATGGCTATTTGGCATCATCTAATGATGGGAATGGGTGGAATGTTGCCTTGTTTCTCCTTTTCATACAGACCTACCAATTTTCACATTGGAACTACAGCATTTAGGATGAGACCTGACTAGTGAGGAGTATAAGAGAAACTACTACTTCTCATAAATTGGAAGTAATTTATGCATCCCAATGTAGCATTGGCACATTTTCTAGCTGCACCATATGGTTGGCTCATGTTTGGCCTCTTGTCCACAATTGCTCCAGGGTCTTTCTCTTTTTCTCTTCTTTTTAGCCTTGTATCCCCCATTTTCTATCGATGAATTGAGATTCTTTCTTCCTACTGGGAGGACTTGGCACTTGTCCCTACAGAAACTTCGATAGATCTACAGGCGCAGTGAATTTCTACTATTCCAACCCATTTAAAAGGGAAGGAGTTTTAAAGGCTGCACTGATTTGACCAGTGCTTTTTTTGTAAAAAAAAAAAATTGCCAGAACTCAGGTCCCCACCAGCAGTAAGCACACACACCAATCCCAAGCCGAGCAGGGAGCAGAGCAGTGGAGCAGCGTCCCAAGCAGGTATCTCTCACTATCAGATAGCAGATGATAGCAGAGACAACAGCCGCTTGCAGGCACTATGTTAGCGATGTTTGCTGCTGATCTGCTACTCCATTCAAAATCACTTCGTAAAATTTATTGAAAAAAAGGTGCTGGAACGCCTTTCTGGTGCATTCTATGACAAAAAAAGCCCTGGATTTGACTATATCCATGAACAAACTCAAACCAAGGCCTGCTTAATATACCTATATTCATCCATGTGCAGTAGTGTCTATGTCTCACTCATTCAAGGGATACACATGTTGTAGGTCCTCAGTTCCATTTCATTAGAGAAGGCGGGTTCTTTTCCTTCCAACAGCCACCCCTTCACTCTTACAATAATGTACATCTTCAGCACCCACAAATTTATCCGAAATAAAACTCAGTTCATGTACCCAAAACTGCTGCAAGAAAGTTCTCTTATCAATTAGCTTTTCTTCATCATGTCAATTTAGCATGCAGAAATGAATCACACAGTCATATTATATGCCACACATCTCTAACCCCCATAACTTTGGGATGACTCTGCCTGTGTCAGTGTGCCAAGACCTTTCACATTTTGGTCCAATCCTGAATATTCTACAAATGTTCAAGGTGGACAATCTAATGTCAAGTGAAAAGACCTCTACTTGGTCCAGGTCAATAAAGAGACCTGGACCAAGTACCACAGAAAAACCAGAAAGCCAAACACACCTTCTTCAAATGGAAGGTGCATCCTTTTTGAAGAGGTTAGTGGTTGAGAGGCCCACCCCACCCCAGAGAAGATCAAGGACAGCCATGTGCCATGTCGCGATCTGAACTTGCATCCTAAGCAACGCTCAGAAGTAACCACACACGAAAGCGAGAGTGTGCAGACAGCAAAGACTTCCCTTTCTGGCCTGAAAAGTGGTTCTTGTATTGGTTCCCCTTGCAATTGTACCACAGTGAGTAACCACCGCTATAAACAACACCGCAATAATAGGTGGCCTCATCATCCGCCTGGACACCGGTGATGGTCAGATAACGCTCACCGGCCTGATTTGGAGCCGGAGAAGCGATCCGGGATCCCGCTGGGTCTGTTGGTGTCATCATACAGCAAAAGCCGAGGCGCCTGCCCTTCTCTCTGTTGGTACCATCCAATAACGTAGCTCGCATGCTCGCTGCTCAGGCTGCAGGAGAATCTGGCTGTGCCGCCGAGAGCGGCTGACG